TGGTACCTGCACTGTGAAACATGCTGCCAGAGGCCAAGACACAAGCAGGCTCTGAAAGACTAGAGATTCCTGAAGAGCTCTTTCAGCTGTTACGATCTCAGTGTAGCTTCTGACTCAGGAAGACCATAGGTCAGCAACAGCTTGGAGGCTGCATGATCAACCCTGCCGGTGGGGGGCAGGGGGAGGGTTTCTGTTCGTCCCATGGGGGCTGAAGCCCCTTCCCAGCTGCCCTGCCTCTTCACCTGCAAGTGCACATGGTGTCACCTTTCTATCTGCCCAGCAGAGGCAGAGAAGGTCAGCCAAAATCCCACCTTGTGCCTCTACTCTTGCAGCGCTGCCTCGAGCTACTCTCGGGCTTCCAACACCCCCAGGCCATACACTGCCAAGGGAGTAAACAGCCACCCCTGCCAGGGCCCTGCTGCCTGCAAGAGAGTCCTTTCCCTAGCCATATCACCATGACTTCCCTGCAAGTCTGGTCCTTGCACCTTGAGGACACAGTCAAGGACTCCTGGGACAAGTCAGCAGCATGCTGGGTACCAGCCAAAGAAGGGCAGCAGAGACTAGCCTACAGCAGGTAGAAAGCACCCAGGGGCACAGGGTCAGCCAACACCAGATAAGCCAGCACCTGCTTTAATGTTCCACTCAGAGGTTGGCTGTAAGGAGCAACCACAGCCTGTTACCAAGCATTTCCATGCTGCCGTCTCTAGCTTGCTCTGGAGGAACAGGTTGACGCTGGTAGACCAGCAAGGTTCTCCCTGCACAAGCTCTGTGTCAGGAAACAGCAGACGGCACCAGAAAACCCCACTGTATGTGGTTTCTACCACACTGCTTCCTGGATTGTCAGTGGGGGTAAAGCCCTGAAGCATTCACATTAGAGCTGAAGCAGAATCCTCACGTTTAAAAGCTACAAGCCCTGGACAACTCACATCCTCCCAACCACATGCTTCACTGTCAAAAGCATCAGCAGTTTGGGTTTCTGACTCTGACCAGAACAGATGTAGAGCTGTGCTTGACATAGGCCAGGGCACAACACAGCCACTGCAGTGCCACAAACACCTCACCCTGGGCCTCGTCCCCCCTCCATGACATCCCTGGATGACCACCAGGATGGAATTTTTTCCTGTCCATTTATGAGATATTGGTTTGAGTGAATCCTGCTGGGGCTGAGGGAGGGTGACATTGCAGGGAGTAAGCGCAGAAGGAGCTGCTGATTCAGTGCATGGCTCTGCAGAGCTCTCCTGGTTAGGACACAGCTGGAAACACCCACACAGGCCAGGCCCATCCCAGATCTGCTCCAGGGACCCAGCACAGCCCAGATACACTGCTCACACACCAGCACCCTTCTGGAGTAGCCCAACACACAGGTGCTGGCTGAGTTTGTGCCTGTGAAAGCCCTTGGTAGTCACCAACAAAAAATGCTAAACACATGCGTGACAAGACCAAGAGACTGCAGCAAGGCCAACCAAGGACAAACAGGGCTCCCTCATTCCACATGCAGACAGCATCAGCATTACCAGTCAGCCTGTGCCCTGGATCATGCTGGGGGAGAATCAAATTCCATTTGGATGCTGAGCAGGGCTGGAACAGCAATTTCTGTATGTACTGCGTCCGTTGCCTCTGCTGCTGCATGTCCAGAGAAGCAGTCAGAATTCAGCTGCTCTTGAAAACATCACTACTTCGTCTTGAAAAAGAACAGCCCTCCCTTTTGCCCAGGTTACAAGTGGTGTATTTTGAAGTTTTTACATAAAATTTTAACAGCCTTATCTCCGAGTACTGAGGAGGGGCTCGGATCACATTCCCCCGTGCAGCTCAAACACTACTAGAACAGGCCCCGGAGAGGTATGGGGGTCAGGCAGCAGTGCAGGAAGGTGCCCGGCTCCCTTTGTCAACAGTCAGTACTTTTACACTGACCGACTCACACAGCAGGCTGGGCCACCTCCGAGTGGGGCGATACTGATAAACAGCGGCCAAGTGGAAAGGAGAGATAACAGTCGTGCTGGGAGGAGCATAACCACAGGCGCTGTGCGAGCGGGGACGCACCAGGTGCTCCAGCAGAGCGAGGTGAAGT